GGAAAATTGCTCACTGCTTGTCAAGTTATTATTCATTTCCTGATCTTTAATGACTGATTTTCCACCAATCAGCCCAAAGTCTCAAGCCCAACACCCTGTAGGCAAGGCCTGAATCTCGGTCCCAAAAAGTGACTGCAGGAAGGCTTGCAGACATCCCAGGGTCCAGGCACCAACCAGACCCCCACCTAGAAAGGCAACATAGACCTGTCCCAGTCCCAGGTGCCCTTTCTTCCACAGCTCTGGGACAGCTCTCCATATCATAGTCCTCTACTCAGGGCAATATGGTGAACTGGTAAGCCTTCCCCCAGTGTAGGAGCCACCATCACCCCTTAAAAAGGGGGGAGTCTAGAGGTATCTTAAAAGTTCCAGGCATAGTTCATTATCAATCCTTATGAGATATTCCTTTGTTTAAATTATGACTTATCTTGAGGAACAAGGGTCTTTGTAGAAGAGGAAAATGCTGTCCTCCATCTGTCCCTCCCTTAACCTCCATTCAGCACAGACCCTAGGTCTTTCTTTCTTTTTTTTTTTTTAGAGACAGTCATTCTTGTTTAGGCTGGTCTTGAACTCCTGAGCTCAAGTGATTTACTTGCCTCAGCCTCCCAGAGTGCTAGGACTCTGGGTCTTTCTGAGTCAGAAAGATTAGGAAGCAGGGTAAGAGGCACAGGTAGGAGATGGGGAGGAGGGAAGATTGTACAGGGGGAAGGGAAAGCAAAGTGTCATGTGCTTGTGTGTGTGTGGGGTGAGTTCACAGAAGGAAGTCCACTGTAGCAAAAAGACCTCAATACCCAAATACTGGCCACAGTCTAACTGTCCATCAACAGAAGGCTAGCTACCAAACTGGGAACACACTGATCTGGTGGAATATTCTTCAGCAGCCTCAGAAATGAATGACCCAGAAATGCATGTAACAAACAAACATGTAGACATTCATCTCAGCAACATGAAACTGAGTAAAAAAAATAATAATAATACGTAAAAGTAAGCAGCAGCAGGATTCTTTGTATTTAAAATTTTAAGATACCCAAGAAATACTCAAGGACTAAGAGTATGAAACTTAATGGGGAAGACCAATTTCAGGAAACTGGTTACCCAGGGTATATCAGATATGGGAAGGGCCTCAGTTGTATCAGTAACAATTTTGTTTTTTGAGACACAGTCTCACTATGTCACCCTCGGTAGAGTGCCATGGCATCACAGCAACCTCAAACTCTTGGGCTTAAGTGATTCTCTTGCCTCAGCCTCCCAAATAGTTGGGACGACAGGCACCTGCCACAACACCCAGCTATTTTTTGGTTGTAGTTGTCATTATTGTTTGACAGGCCCAGGCTGGGTTCAAGCCCACCAGCTCTGGTGTATGTGGCTGGTACGCTAGCCGCTGAGCTATAGGACTGAGCCAACAATTTTTAAATCTTTTTATTTTTAAACCTAAAGGCACAGAAATCGTAAATGTACTTATAGTTCAACTGCTGTTAACAAAGTGAACATATCCATGTCACAACTTCCAAATTCAAAAAAGACAATATTCTCAGACCCCCCCCCATGCCTTTCCCAACCACTCCCCCACCTGGAATAGCCATTCTCTTAAGTTCTAACACCATCAATTAATTTGATCAATCTTTGAATTTCAGATCAATGGAATCATACTGTGTTTTCTTTTGCATCTAGCTTCTATTCAACATTATGTTTGTGAGATTGTTTTAGGCTGTGTGTGGCAATAGCTTATTAATTCTCATTGCCAAGTACTAGCCCACATATGAGAAGGCCACAATTTACTTACCTATTCCATTGCTGACAGCTATTGTGAATAGTCAGCATAACCAAATAGACGGCATAGCATTCTTGTGTATGCCTTTTGGTGAATATATGTATGTACGCATTTCTGTTGGTATATACTTAGGAGTGGAGTTGTATTATGCTGATAAAGATTTATTCCATAATAATAAAGTTTTTCAGAAAAAAGTAAGATTCAAGCTGTCAGATGAATGGAAACATAAAATATCTGGGCCTACGTGCATTGAGACTGTGGGTATAAAGAGACTAATGTTTCCGGATGCATAGTACCACCTTGAGTGCTAGGCCTGGTACTAGGAACAAGCTTGCCCACTGGGCGGTGCCTGTTGCTCAGTGGGGAGGGCGCTGGCCACATACACCTGGGCTGGGGGGTTTGAACCCAGCCCAAGCCAGTTAGAACAACAATAACAACTGCAACCAAAAATAGTCAGGCATTGTGGTGGGCACCTATAGTCCCAGCTACGTGCAAGGGTGAGGCAAGAAGAAAATCACTTAAGCCCAAGAGTTTGAGGTTGCTGTGAGCTGTGATGCCATGGCACTCTACCCAGGGCCATAGCTTGAGACTCTGTCTCAGAAAAAAAAAAGGTTGCCCATTAACCCACTTCATCCCCCAAATAGGAGGCAGCTGGCCCTGGGAAAGAGCATCTGCTTCAGAGCAGGAAGACCTGGGAGCAAGCCTCTGTTGCACTACCTTCTAGCTATTGACCCAGGCAAGAAACCTGGCCTCACTGAGGCTCACCGGTAAAATGGGGAGAAGAGCCACCAGGGCTGGGGTCATAAAGCCAAACAACATGTTACTCAAGCACCTGGCACACAGCAGACATTTAAGAAGTGGCAACGCTTATGATTTGCAGTTTTGTGAGGTCAATATTCTTCATTTTTAAGTGAGGAAAGCAGGGCTTATAAGAGGGAAAATAAGCATTTATGGAAAGCACTTGAAGAGCAGGCCACCAGGCCAGGTCCTTTGTCCATGGTCTCTCATGCCATCCTTCCACCCACTCTAGGAGGCATTCTCCCAGTTTTGTGGGTGAGGAAACTGAGGCTGAGATGTCATATAGTTTGCCCAGGTCACACACTGGCAAGTGACACAAGCTGAGGTTCAACCCAAGGCAACCTGACTCCAGCACCTATGTCCTTAACCATGGTTTCCCTAATAAGATCAGGCCATGAGACGTGGTTCCTGCCACCACCAGAGCTCCTACACCTGCTCTGAATCCTATGATGGAACAAAGACGGAAAAGGGACCCTCTTGCCTGCTCCCAGTTACTTGGACTATCTTCTTTGATATATTTATTCTGCATCTTTTGGGAAGCTTTGTTTTCCTCACTAACATGCCTCCACTGTGACCCACAGGATGCTGGGAATATAGTTGGCCCAAAGATGAGGGGTAAACTGAAATGAAAGCAAAAGCATTTCCCAGGGCAATCCTTTTGGGCACATGAGCCCACATGTTAGGCATAGAGGGGGCTGCAGGAAAATGATGGGAAAACAATCAGTGGGAATGAGAACCAGCCAGAAAAGGGCTGGGCAGGCCCACTGGAGGTCATGTCATTCCAAATCCTCCTGCAGAAATCCTCTTTTTTGTGTCTGAGGTCCCTAGTTCGCATCCCACGCTCAGCCTTTGCAGTAGGAAGGATGGGAGGGAGGCCTGAAGGCATGGTCACTGGCCCAGAAGGCCTGACACAAGGCCCTGCTCCAGGGTTGGCTTATAAGGTTGTCTGCATATCCATCAGAGCTGGATCTCCACACTAGATAAATCAGATCATACTACCAAGAACTTTTCTTTCTCCCAAAAAACCCTCCCTCTCAGGTAACCCACAAGCAGGCAACACCACTTTAAAGACCTCCACCAGCTTCTTCCTTGACCTCACTGAAATGGCTCTGGTTAGAATCAGGTTCCATCATTCACCAGCTATGTAAACCTAGGCAAGTGACTTGATCTTTCTGTGCCTCAAATACCTTCTCCGTAAAACAGAGATAACAGAACTCTATCTATATTATGGGGTTATTTTAAAGATTAAACTAGCCGATATGCCTGGCATGTTAGCTGTTAATCTTATTGCTACTGCTATTGCTATGCTGTAAAGGACACTGCGATAGCCAAATTAATGGTATTTAGAGCCCATCTCCCCAATTTCACATCAAGATGTCTGAAAGGCTCCTAAAATACACCTATAACACCAGCCCAACAGGGCAAACACATTAGATCTGTCACAAACAGAAAATGTACAGAATAAGTGATAGAGAACAATCCAAAACAGAGCCTTTCTGAGATCTCTCTTCTTTTAAGCCCCACTGGAAGGGCTTTCTCCTCCAAAAAATCATCTCTCCAGACAACTAAGCAACAAGTCTTTCAACCACAGGGGCATCTTCTGTCTGTTCCTGGTCCACCTGCCTGGGGTGATCTGGGGTCAGGAGAACCTTCAAGACCCATGGCCTTGCTGCCCTGATCCCACAGAAGGGTCCTCCTTTGGTTACGGGGACCTGGCATCACCGGGCTGGGTGGCGTACTCCTTGAGGAATCCTGAGACATCCCTCACTCCTCCCCACCCTCAACATACACGGAAGATGTTTCTGGCGTGGAGGTGGGAGGGTGGAGTCATCGAGATTTCCACGAGTCTCTGAGTGGGGCGTCTGCTACCAATGTAGTCCTCCGGCTTGGATCCTGGGCCTTTCACCCGGACTTCCCCCTCTCAACCCAAACACACCGCAGCCGCCACCACCTCAATCCCTCCGGTTCCCCTGGGCAAAAGCCACATTCAAAGACGCTGACTTTTGTTTACAATCTAATTTGTTCAGGTAAATGTCTCGACTTTGCACTTCGCTTTACCCTCGTTGCTCCAGACTTGGGCCCCTTCTTCACTGGCTCCCAGAGCACTTTATGGGAAATTCCCCTTTCTCAGAAGGACGCTGAGCACGCCGGCGGGTGAATGTTCACACAGCCCAGAAGGAGCCTCCCCACCCCCACGGCCCGTTCAGAAAATCCATCCCCAAACCCCACACGGTGGGGAGAGGAGCTGGGCCGGACGCCGGCTCCGCTCCGGTCTCTGGGCCCCTGGCCACTCCCTGCGCCGGGCGCAGCCCGCCGGGAACCAGTGAACCGTGTGGGAGCAGGACTTGGCCGTACCTCCAGACTCCAGGGTAAGGCCAGAGCGCCATACGATTAGTCGGAAGTCAGGTTGAATGTCTTTAGTCTCTCCACCTACCCCGTCTTTCAGATCCGTTACCCGGCTTCTTCTCCCTATCCCCATTTTTCCTCCCCTAAAGTTTGGTCCACGTGGTCTCCTCTACCTCTCGTCAAGCTGCCTCGCGGGGTGAAAGTTGCTGCACCTGCTTTAGGCGAATTATGGTAGCACTAGAAGTTGTTCTCCCCTCCCTCTGCCGCTCGCTCCCTCGCTCCCTCCTCCCTTGCCAGCCGCGCGCTCCCTCCTTCCCCCCCACTCCTCCTCCTCCCCCGCCCGCGAGCCGCCCGCTCGCAGCCACTCGCAGCCCAGGCTCAGTCGCAGCCCCTCGGAGTCCTTAGCCGGCCGCCCCTGCGGAGCGGACTGAGCGGCCGGCGCCCGGGACGGAGCCCCCAGCCCGCAAGGAGGGCGCGGCGCAGGCGGCGGCGGCGCAGCGGGGAGGAGCCCGGGCCGGAACCAGGGCTGGGCCGGGGGCGGGGACGCCGGGGTCCCGGAGCCCCGGAGCCGGAGCTAGCTAACAGCGTCGCGGAAGGACGGGGAAGGAGGAGCAGAGCCGGAGCGAGCCGAGCCGCCCACAAAGTGCAATGACCCGGCGGGGCTGAGGCGCGCGGCGGCCGGCGCGGCGCGCAAGGAGGACGCCCGGGAGCTGCGCGGCGCGGGGCGGCACGGAGGGGCAGCCCCGGCGGGCGGCGGCGGGCCCGGGCTGGGACCCGAGCGAGCCCCATGCCCCGTGCGGGCTGACGGGCCGGAGCCCGCACAGAGCGGCCGGGCCGGACAGGTAGGTGGCGGGTCGGGCCCGGGAACGCGGGTGGGGGCTGGGCCGACGACCAGACCAACTCCCTCGCTCGCGCACTCTCTTGCCCGCTCACTGGCTCACTTTGTGTTTGCAAACTGCCCGCCGGAGCCGCGCGGGGAGGAGCGGGGCCCGGGCCGGC